AAATATGATTTTGGGACATTTTCAAATTAAAAAAAAAAGCTTCAACTTTTCATATTTACGGTCTGTTGTCCTACGTGTACTAGTACACTGCTCTGTACCCTGAGTAACTGGACATACCACTGTATGACAGACAGCATGCTGACAGTAGAGAGGTGCATTAACAGTGACCTCTCACATTCAGGGTACTGCTCTGATGCTGGACAACTGAAAATTTACATACTTATAATTTATTAATTTCCAGTTAGGAAAAGTTATTGCATCAAATGGGATGGTATACTGTTCCATTTTTTTTTTTTTCAAAGTGAAAGGGATTTATCTTGGTAAATATTTAGAAAAACTGCAGCTCTCCTTAAGGACCAAATGCATTGCAAAACTATTAGATTTTAATTATTATGTTTTGATCAACTTATCATTGCTATCTGTACAAGGAAGTTGCCTTTTTTTGTAAAATTAATGTAAATGGTCCAGGAGTAATTTTGTTATTAAAGGTCATGAAAAAACAAACGTAAAACATTTTGCAATATTAATATATAAATGCCAGTGGTCGGTACCGTTTTTATTTATTATTATTTTTAATTGTAAAATGTCAGTTGCTGTCAGGTGATTGCTCATCCCTCCGTTTTGATTTTCATCGAATGTTTTTGTAATTTCTTTGTTTTGTGTTCATGTTTTTATAAAATAACTTGCAAATAACGAGTTCAGCATGTTTTGATAAAAGCAGGCATTTTGACAAAAAATTTGAATTATTTTAACGTTTCATGTTAGAGATGCATTTTGAAGAGTACAAAATGTTTGTAAAGCCATGTGACCAACTTTTTAAGATTTGTATAATAATAAAGAATTTTTTAACAATTTGTCAGTTTCTATTATTTTGAATTCAGTAGGTTTTATATGTGTGTGCATTTTAAACACTGCTGCAGCTGTATTAAATAAAACTTTGGTTGTAACATATCATGTTGTATTGGGCTCATATCCTCTAGAATTGAAATATGTGCATCTTGCATTTTTTTTTTTTTTTTAACTAGATATTACAACTTTGTTTTCATAGTGGGTGAAGAAAATGAAACCATATTTAACATGTGCCTGGATACAGATTCAGTTTTTGACTGTAAACTTAGACCCCATTCCCACAGATTTTAGATCGATCCATCCCTGTGGGGAGTCTCACTAGATTACTGTAAGCTTAGCCGGCTTAAGCGTCTGTCCCGCCTACTAAAAGCTGTAAGGGGGTAATTAACTATGGTGCCCCCAGGAAGTTAGGTCGATCTAAATCTAAATCTCTGGATCGATCTAAATCTCTGGGAATGCACCCTGAGTGATACATGATACATATGAATACCAGTGAAGCTGCTTCTCTTAAACAACAGGGGAAATGATTGAGGGAATTTGTGAGAAACATGCTCATCACCTTATTAAAAAAGCAATCCTGTGTTTAAGTTAAATATTTGTTTAATCAATTTTCCCATTCCACTTAACCAAAACTCTTTACACTGAATGTTTATTCCCCCTTTTTGTTTGGTTCAACTCCCCTCTGACACTTTTATGCAAACCTTGAATGTTATTCCATTTTTACAGTTCAACTCAGCTCCGCGTATATGTAAAAAAAACAAAAACAAAAACAAAAAAAAACATTGAATGTGTTACCCCTTTTCAAAGTTCAACATGGCTCTAAGTTGTGAAATAAAAAAAAAGAATAAAAAAGTCAAATGTCTCATCCCGTTTTTTGGTTCAATTCAGCTCCAAGTTTCTCACAAAATCCTTGAATATGTGATCCCTATTCTACCATGCTTCCTTCCCAGCCTCTGCGGTTCTTAGCTTTTCCTGACGCCCTTTTTTTGTCATTTTTCAGTTCATAGTTACCACTATAAATTACCAATTGTATCACTGCTCTGGAGATCGGTTGCTCTGTGGTGATGGCGACGGTGACGACGACGATGGTTGTGAAGATGTTGTGGACGAGGAGGCAGACTCTTGGTCGCGTATATGCTTTTCAATCTGGGAGATTAAAAAAATGTACGATAATAACTCTACTTTATTAATTGGGGGGAAAATTGTGAATTTTACAGACACTGTATTTTTAAGGCATAATTTCTGTAAATAAGAACATTCCTATTGAGTGGTGGCAACAAAATCAAAAAGCAGGTTACTCTATATAGGTCTATTCTATGCAGTAAAAGTAAATGTTATACATTTATTTTTACAGATATTTTATGATTATAAAATTATGTATCTGAAAGTTTGATAATTTCTGCCCACAGAAAAGAGAATAATTACTGTATGTTTGGTTTCATTTTTAATTCAATCAAAAATTGCCAATGTGATTCAAGCAAGGAACATAACCTGGTCATGTAAATGCTACTCAATCTTGTTCGAAAATTCTTTATTTGGATTTAGCTTAACTCAATCCAAAACTGTTGATATGAAAGTCAAGCACTGAACATTGTTAGACCTTTCTTTCAGTTCCTTGTCAAAAAATTTCATTCTTCCTGAAAACTTCCAACATTTTCCCCCCATAACAAAACTGGTACCAATATGATATAAAAAATGTGTTTCTGGGTCTCTCATTCTCTTTTATTTTTACTTTTTAACCATTTTTTGTAATTGTTTCTATCTAATTTTAGAGCCATTCTTTTAATAGTGGTATAAACTGACAAAATCCCCTTATAATTATGGTAAGAAGTCATAAATGAACGGTTCTTTGAGCACTGCTCGTTTAACTGTAGGACTTACTATTTTCTTGACATGTTGTGCAGCTTTCTCCTGCGCTTGGTTTATGGGTTTACAGTTTTCTAGGCCATACGGGGGTAGAATAACCACTTGGTCCATTACAATGATCTTCTGGTTCTCCCAGTGTACATCATTAATTCTGAAGATGAACACGACTTGAGCTTCAATTCACTCGTCCCAAATACTTTTGAACATACACCAGAAAATATTCAACTACTAGTACTAATAATGCTATACCAATACAAGTAAGGGTATTTTGGAGACCATAGTCTGAAAATCTACTGTCCTGAAGGAAAATTCACTGAGTCCAACTGAGCACAACACCAATACTAAGTTCACTAGTACTTTTAAAAATTGTGATGATAATAACAATAATAAGCCAAAAAATATTTAAAACTGCAGTACTAATAATTCTTTACCAATAAATGGAATTTGTAACAATAACAATATCACCTGTCCAATAATAACAATCATAATAATAAATAATAATAATAACAGTTATAATAAACTTACGTTTTTGTGATTGCATTAAATAGTTTTTGTCCCTCTGGTGTCACCCCAATACCAACATACTTCACCTTCCTCCTCTTTTCTTCACTGGTAGCTCTTACCCTCTGCTGGAGCTGAGGAGAAAGAAAGTGGTCCTTTAATGTGGAATTTATGAGAAGTGTGAGAGCTTTTCTTCGTGCTTGTGTCAGTTTTAGAAGCTTAAATCATATGGCAATTTACTTGAAAAAAATAAAATACCTTTCTATAAACCAGGTCATGCCATGTATACATTTCCAATACTTCTACGTGTGTGTATACATGCAAAAACAATAAATAAATAAATAAATAAATAAATAAATAAATAAGCACAGTTACACACATCATTTTGTAACAGTTAAAATGCTTATTAAGTTAAATGACAACAAAAAGGTACAGTTAATTTGCTACATGCTGTTGTATGCAAACCCTATATATCACTCATACTTACTTTGTTAAAATTCAGATTGGTGAGTGTGGACGGCGGATCGGAACATTCCTTGATCAGGTCAATTTCACTGACCATGTTCAGGTTCAACATTCTCATATCGTACAGGCCTTGACGACCCGGCCCTGAGGGGGATTCTGAATTCACGGTTAAGGAGACAACACTGGATGCACTCAATGAAGAGGTACAATGAACTAGAGACGCAGTGCAGAATTCCTTGAGCTTGTTACTTCCCCTACTTTGTCACAGAAGTGTGCAGATATTGAACTACATAATATATCACTTGCAATTACCCTTTTCACATACTCAGCTGCATTTAGAGCAATAGTTCTTTTTTTCTAAAAAACCTAAAAATGTAGCCAACTGAATTGCTGCTTGAAGACAGAATTATTTAAGTTTAAACACATTTTAATTTCCCCAAATGGTTACAATTATAGCGAGCATCAGTATAATAGGTTCTAAGATTGGTTATTAGCTGGGAAAAATATGGTTAATCCTAGGAAAATTCAGAGAAATTTTTACACTGGGTACCTTTAAATATCAACATGAAACTGAGTTTTGAGCACATCTTAACTTAAATAAAGACATGTATTAGTTTGTAGGGCATACTTATGCCCTTTATAATTATCAATTTGTCTGCATTTCCATTCTTGCTAACTCAAAATTTCCAAGGAAAACCCAATGAATAAGATACTAGTAATTGCCCCCAAAATATTGGTAGTACATGAGTGCTATGTCCAAATATGTGAGAATACAACCATCGGCAAAACAAGTGCTAGATGTGGAAACGATCAGAGCACTCTTTTGGCCAGTGCACTGGTTATAGTGCCAGTGGAACTGTAACTTGAAAGTTGGAAGTGGAAGCCGGTCACTTTCCCCAAAGGGTTTCATTGCTTCCGATCTATAAAACAAAACGGCTCAATATACAGTGCTATAAGGATACTCAATACAAGCATTTTAGTTGTGTGATCGAAAGCGACAACCTCTCCTTGGATCTTCTGTCCATAACAGGTATTGCAAGCCACGATACTCCCAACGTTAAAATAATCACTTTCAGCCATGTTGATCTTCATTTTTCACACAGAGCCAGTTATTCGGGGCAAAGGTATTTTCTTTGATGTGATTGGATAAAATTTAATTATTTAATATTCATGAATATCATGTACTTTTTCAACCAATATACTTAAAATAAATTTAAAATGAGTGATGCATAATCAAAAGGATATAACAGATATATTTAAAAATTACTTAATTTTATCCAATTGTTTTCGTTGCCACTGAATACTGATGACAAAACAACCTTGACCTTGACCTTCTTTGTTTTGGTTTGGACGATGATGAAAATCCTGTGAAATATGGAAAAAGGAAACAACACAATGGCATCGTAGTAAGAAACAGATCAGTGTTTCTCTTTTGCGAAAAAATTTGCTTCGCAAGGGAGTATTTATACTTTGACATGAGATAAAAGGAGCAAGCGGATTTCAGGTAAAGAAAACAGCTGATGAAAAATTTATCAGCAAAGTAGGGAGGGTGAGTACGTTTTTTCCCCTAATAATGAGGTCATCAACAGCATGACATAAAACATAACAAGTACTTGTCAAAAATCTTTAAATCCGAAAAGCATCATTCAGATCATGTTGTACTTGATAAGTCGTTTTACGGAAATGATCTCACCAACGGATAAATAGATAAATATATTTCCCCGAACTTAATTTTGGATAATTTCCAGATATCCAGTCTCACTCTCACTTCATTCTTTTCACATCCCGAGTTAAACCCATAAACCTTCTCCACTTTTTAAAGGATGTACAAAATAGCATCAAGATCAATTCGATCCAACCTGACCAGGAATATTTATTTTCAACTGGATTCAATCTTAAATATAATTAATTCACTGGACAGTGTCTTAAGTTGATTCACAGCAAGGTAACGTAAACACAATTAAGTGCATCACATTTAAGACAAGAAAGTTTATGGGGAATTGAAAATTGTCCTTATGCTGACAGTTTGAGTGATTGAAATATGGTGTCTTATGACTTACTGGCATGACCAGGTAGATTTAGGACCTAAGAAAACAGTTGATTTACTTTGGTCATGAAAGTGTCTATAGTGAACAAATTTCTATATGTTTTTTCGCCAAAATAAGCATGTTGCCAAATTAAATATGTCTCAGCTGTTTATTTTACGGAGAGCTGCCAATAAAAATTTACTAGTAATTCATAATTCTTTTTAAAAGAAAAGGCAATATAATTGTTTGATGATCAAATCACACATATAAGAGGCCTGATGACTTAGATGGTATAAATTTGATTTAAAAAATTGGATCTGGCTATTTGCACAGTCACATATTTAGTGAACCTAACATTAGAACCAATCTCATCTCATCAACTCCTTTATAACTACCTCATTAAGGTTATTAAAAAAAAACATTAATATTATTTGTTAATAAATATGTTTTGAAAAAAAAAACATGACCTCAGATTGCTCTTTCAGGTAAGTTTTTCTTCATGCAGGTCGATCATAGGGTGAACATTATGATTAATATCATCCCACCTCATTATAGCTATTTTTAAAGAATCATTAATATTATTTATTAATTAGTATGTTTTGAAAAAAAAACATGACCTCATATTGCTCGTTCAGCTAAGTGTTTCCTCTTACAGTACTGTCATAGGGTGAACATTACAATCAGTCTCATCCTATTTTTTCACTTTTAACTATGGTAACCTCATTACTGTAATAAAAAATCAATTAATTATATATATATATTTTATATATATATATTTTGAAAAACATATATGTATAATTTTTCTTGCAGTACGGTCATAGGGTGAGCAGTACAGTACAAGATGAGTGAGTTCACCACCAGCTACCAGCCTCTCCCGGCCTCTGGGTATGAGGAAGACGAAGTGGACACCCCTCACATGGAGACTGATGTCTTAATTCATGTTGTCCCAGAGGAGAGCAGCAAATGTAAGTTTTGTGATAATAATAGTAAAATATATAAAAAACAAAGACTGGGGTAGCGCTAGCAATATTTTTGGCTTAGCCAAATCACCACTTTTTTGTCAATTTGTTATCAAAATGGTAATAATTTGACTAAAACAAGTCAAATCAGGCCCATTTTCTTTAGATAATTTAAGTCAGTTTTAGCATTTGGCTAAATTGGAGAGTGTTAGCGCTACCCCAGAAAGAGGAGGAGGATGATGATGATAATCAGGGCTTAAGAATTATTTTTTTTCTCCACTGGCCCTTCGGGTCAGTAAGGTCCAGTAAATATTACAAAGGTTACTTGGCGTATTAAATTTTATTTGTCCTTCAGGACAGCAGCCCCTGTGTTTCACTGACCCGAAATTGGTTTTCAGTTGCCCCTGGCAAATGGGCTACCTTTAATGTCAAACCCAGATAATGAAAATGATGATGGTGATGGTGATGGTCGTAGTCACTTGTCATTTTCGGTTGAATTATTTGTCTTAACTTTCAATTCTTCAAACCTGTTTTTTCCTTTCAGTGACATGATGATTAATATACATTATAGGTTGTCATGAATTAAAATTCTTATAATTAATTTAATCACAATGTGAACTTGCCTACAGGGAATGGCAAATTTTTAAGCTAAAATGGAAGTGAATGCAGCCTCAAAAGATTTGTTGTTTTGTTTTTATTTAGCACGCTGGAATCATATCGAGAATCTGGATGAGTTTTTTGCCAGGGTTTATCAGTATCATCAGAGGAATGGATTTTTCTGCATGGTGCTTGAAGATGTGCTGCAGCTGTTGTAAGTGACATCATGTGGGTTATGGCGTGTTCACAGCTGGCCTTGATTAAAACTAATATGTATGTCATTGACAGCTTGAACACACAAAGACCACAAGTCTGTATATATATATATATATATATATATATATATATATATATTTATCTACATGTTGGTCTTTATTAGTCTCAGCTCATGCCATAATTGAGTTTATTTTGGATGGCCTGTTTCAGAGAACCGGTGAATCCCCTGCATAAACAGACCTTTTGAAAAGTAGAATTAAATTTTTATAAAATTCAGTGGCATTTCTTTTTTTTTCCTTCTTTCCTCTTTCTAAGATCAAACTTTGAAAAGTAATTTGGAAAAAAATTTGCTGTACCCTTTTCTTTAAAAATGTTTCTTCTTTCCACTTTTTTCTAAGATCAAATTTTCTTCTTTATTTCAGGCAATTTGTATTCGTGATACTTTTCTCATCATACCTGATAGAGTGCGTCAAGTATGACGTGGTGTTTGATGAGATATATCGTAACAATACACACGGTCACCACAAGGTCACCATAGCAGAGTCTGTTATACCACTAGACCAGTGTGTTAGTAGGTGAGTGAGATATACCGTAACAGTACCAAAAATAAAGTCAACATAGCAGAGTCTGTTATACCACTAGACCAGTGTGTTAGCAGGTGAGTGAGATATGCCGTAACAGTACCAAAAATAAAGTCAACATAGCAGAGTCTGTTATACCACTAGACCAGTGTATTAGCAGATAAGTGGCATTAGATTAGAAGATGTTGTATACAAGTCACATATTGCGTACTTATTATTGAGACCATCTGTTTTTGCCTCAGACTATTATTTATTTATTTATTTATTTACTTATTTATTGAACTTAACTTTATGAGGGTTAAGTCTTAGCAATTTGATATCTGAAATTTATCTACCCCTTATCTTCTTTGTTTTTATGTGGGGTCTGCACTTCAGATTCACTTCATTAGAATTATGTGCCCAGATAAAGCAAGGCCACTATACACAAGTACAAGGTCTACTGAACGAGATAATAAAATATTATACCAGTGATTAAAAATACATAACATTTTACTAATTATAAGATAGAGAACTTAAGTCTATCTCATAACTTGGAAAATATTTTGACAGCTCTGTGTTTTTGTTCACAGTTCACTGTAGATGGGATGCATCATAACCCTTATGGAATCCTTTGATTTCAGTGTTCGGCCATTTGTAGCCATATGTCTCCTGGTGGCAGCAGTGTTTTGGGTCCTGAGGCTTATCAAGGTGGTCTACAACGTGCTCAAGTATTGGGAGATAAGAGCCTTCTACCTGACTGCTCTCAAAATTTCAGCAGTAAGTTCTTATAATAATGTAGATTGTGTAAATTAAAAACTGTAACAAATAAAAAAATACATTAAATTCCACATAACTTCAAAAGGAGTAGCTGAGGATAAAAGATACATAGCACTTATTCATAATCCAAATTTTTTTCAAAATCAAACATTTTAAATTTTTTCCATCAAAATGGAAGTTTTGTATTATGCAACCTTCTTGCCATAGATAATCTGTTATATATTATTATTATTATTATTAGTTATTGTTATTGTTATTATTATTATTATTATTATTATTATTATTATTATTATTATTATTATTATTATTATTATTATTATTATTTCTGTGTTCAAATGAGTTATCTTTATTTTAGTTTTCGATCCTGAATGCATTTTTTGTCCGTATGATGAAGTGTGTAATTAAATTGTTTATTGTTTTAGGATGAGCTGCCTAATCTGACGTGGCATGAGGTACAGAAGAGGGTGGTAGAAGTCCAGCAAGAACAACAGATGTGTATACACAAGAAGGAGCTGACAGAACTAGGTCGGTAACGAAACGTGAAACAAAATGCTTTGGATATTGGCATTAAAATGAATTTTCAGATAAGGTTGTAGTCATTCAAAGAAAAGAATTTTTTCAGTGCATATTTCTATCATTTTTCTCTCTTATTTTTTCTAGTATTTATTCATTTTTAAAACTGTTTAGTAAAGCACTCATAGGAAAGTGGAGTAAGCAGCAAGCTTTTAAGTTTGTCAGCTATTTTTGATCCGCAAATCATTTAGTGCACAGATCAACTTGCTTCTTAAAAGACTCATATTTGCTTGTAGACCTCTAATAACATTTAAGACACACATAGAACATTTTAATAGAAATCTTGTACTTATTTAGCATATTCTTATGTTATTTGCTTCAGATATTTATAACAGAATTCTACGTTTCAAAAACTACCAAGTGGCAATGGTGAACAAATCTCTTTTACCCCTGAAATATAGGATTCCTTTTGTAGGAGATTAGTAAGTACTTGGCTGCTTGAAAGAGGTCATATATTATTCTTTATTATTGCAGATACTTGCAATGATTTAAATTTAATTTAGTTTATGGCAATTTTTATTGCTTATTGTTTTAAAATTTAATAAAATGTATTTGACATAAAAAATTATTAGCTAAATTTATACTTAATATTTGCTTTAAAGCATTGTGCTAAGGAACTGAATGAATTATATTAGTCAGCTTCCAGTATAAGATAATTCCCATGGAAATTGAGCCTTTTTGTTTTGACTATATATTATAGACTATATATTATACACATTTTTTTTCTTGCAGTGTTTTCCTCTCTACTGGTCTTAAGTACAATATGGAGATGATACTATTCTGTAAGTAGATCTGAAAAGAACATGTGCATACACCCCATACTTCAGATTAAAAAGTCATCAGGAAATGAAAAAAATTACAGGTTGTCCAAAAGTTAGAGATGGAATTACACACACCCATTTGTGTAGCATGCTAACAATCTTAAAAGTTGGAAAGGTTTGTGTACAGTTATATAGAAGTTCTTAAAGGGATATCAGAGTTGTTTCCTATTTGTCAATGTCTTAAAAAGAAATCAAATTCTTATGAACTTAGTGTAGAATTATTCCTTATTTTTTATTTCATTTTATTTTTAGGGGGGCCATGGGCTCCATTTGAGAACTATTGGCATTTAAAACAGGACTTCAAAAATTACCATAAAAGGAAAGAACTAGCTGACTAGTAAGTAAAATAGTTATATTGATTTATTGTGAGGAAATTGTGTAAATTTATGTTTTAGACAAAGAAAAGATGTGTAATTTTGTTGTGTTATTTTTACTGAGCTTTTTCTCTCACAAAGGCTATAAAAAGTTACTAAGCAACATCCATTGTTATTTGCATAATTACAAATTTTCAACAATGCTAAATATTCCTTTAAAGGAATGCAACAGTTAACTTGTTTGCTTTGTTATAAATACTAATTTTAACAGTAATTGTCTATTTCCTATGAAGTTTAGGATTTAGTAGTTCTCTGAACTTAACTGTTTGATAAAACTTGAGTGTAAAAACAGCTGATGAAATTCTTTGCTAGATCCAAAGATTTAGCCCTCAATAATATTAAGTTCGACTTCTTTATTCCAGTCTTTCAAGGAGGCTAATAATCTTCAGTATACTCAATGCTTTGTTGTCTCCACTGATTTTTGTATGGCAGATTCTCACATATTTTTATACATATGCAGAGGTTATTGTTTTCCTCTTCAAAACAATCTTCAAGATACAATCTTCACCTTCAAAAATTATAGTCATTCTTCAAGATACAATCTTGAAAAATTGATTGTAAATGCAGAACACAGAAATGTTAAAAAATTGTGCTGTTCTGGGTTTTATGTTCCAAAAATCAAATGTTTTGCAAAGCAAAGTCTCAATTTTATTAATGTATCTTAAAGGTATAATAACTCTTCGTGTTGGCCAAAAAATTAATTTTCCTGGAGTAAACAACAATTTTCCCATATTTACCAATGGTTAATGAATCCATTTTTACATTCAATGTTAGTACCTGTTTTTTTTTTTTTTTTTTTTTTTTTTTTTTTTTTTTTTTTTTTTTTTGAAAAGTTTGGTTTTTGTTAAAATCTCTTAAGAGATTATAACGAAGTACAGCCATCAATGGAGGTCACGTGATCTGAAGACAAGCTCAGATATCAGAATAATAGCTATAACTGCCGTTTTTGTGGTAAAACAGAATATATTATATTTCTATGAGTCGTTCACAATGTTTTTATGTGAAATATAGATATCATACGAAGAGTTATTATCCCTTTAATTGTTTATTTTGTTTTATTTTTACGTGTGGATAATCAACTTTTCTTTATGTCTCAGACAGTCTGAAGTGGGACCATCCCAGTTTGTGCCAAAAAACTTTTTGTCCTCTAATCCTTCGGGTTCACTAGACCTAAATTAAAGCACATACTAGACCTAACATAGTGACCCAAAGCAGACACAAATTTACAGAGTTTCACTGACCAAGATTCATTTAATAAACTGGGAATTTGTGTGGGCCATTAATTAAGTCACAGAAGTTGAGGCTTTGCTTTTGCTCATTAAAACACCTAATCTCATATCCAAAAAAATTCAGCAATTATCCTGAGCACGCACACCCCCTGCTTCTAAGAGTATAACATGAAAAAATAAAAAAATGAGTAAAATACTGAAATTATAACAGCACAGTTGATTACCAAAATGGATAAATTGTGATAATTCTTTCCTGTAGTGTTTCCCAAAGAATCCTCTGGCTAGGCCTTGCCAACCTGATTCTCTCCCCATTGATCTTCCTGTGGCAGATTCTTTATTCCTTCTTCAGATATGCAGAGGTAAGTAGGGATTGACGTGTTATATTTATTGTACATCCATTAGGAGGGGCAGAGGTACCTTGGTTTTGGCCTTGTACCACCAGTGTGAAAGCCAGGGGTACCTTGGTTTTGGCCTAGTACCACCAGTGTGAGGGCCAGGGGTACCTTGATTTTGGCCTTGTACCACCAATGTGAGGGCCAGAGGTACCTTAATTTTGGCCTTGTACCACCAGTGTGAGGGCCAGAGGTACCTTAATTTTGGCCTTGTACTACAAGTAGTACCTTTGTTTTAATCTTGTACAACAATTGGAAGGCATGAAATTACCTTGCTTTAAACCATGTACAAACAGCAAGAAGGCTGAAGGTACCTTGGTTTTGAACCTGTACCACTTTTAGGGAGGCTTGAAATACCTTAGTTTTGCCAGGTACCTCCAGTGTGTGTATTGAAATTACCTTCAATTAATTTTGGCCTAAATTTGAACCATCTTCCTCATAGTACTGGAAATAAAGCCCTGTTACAACCACCCCTCATTTTAACTTTATTGAAATTACATAGTAATATACCCTCATCTCAAGTGCATATAATATCAACTTGAATCTGCCAAGTAGTTATTGGATGTATATTTGAAGGCATGATGTTTGACTTACCGTTACATAGTATCTCTTTGTTTCCTTATAAATATTATAAGAAGTCAAACACATGAAAATGGTTCTTGAATGTTATACTGCATTGAATTTGTTACAATTAAAATGTCTTTACATATATATATATATATATATATATGAGTTCGTAAAAGAGCATTTTGTAAATATGTTTTTAGAAATATTATATACATAGTCCGGTGGCTTAAGGAAAAAATCGTGACATGGCGGATAAAAGCACTAAATTTTGCATGTGGGTACCTTTTGACATACTAAGTCAAATTAGAGCCGTAGCCCACGGAAAAAAATTACCGTTTGGCCAAAAAATCCAAAATGGCCGCCAATTTATGGAATTTTATACAAATGTGTACAAATCTATGTTGATTTTTATCAAATAAATTATTTTCTCAGAGTTTTCCACACCCTTATTTCCCATTTTATTCATATATGTCAGATAGCAAACAAGTTCCCTTAGACTTTTTGAAAAAATCCAAGATGGCTGTCATATGCCATAGAAACAGCCATAGGAATACTAGTGCACAAATAATACAAGCTAGAAAGATACGTTGTCCACTATCAAATTAAGTCTGTTTTTCAGATTTTTGTCACCCACATAATATGTTTGTGGTGAGTAACTTCGAAGTGTTCTTGGGCATTTCGGAAAATCCAAGATGGCTGCCATGTGCCACAGGAATTCTAGTATACGGGGGATTCAACTAATGGCAACTGGAAAGATTAATTTTCCACTATCAAATTAAGTTTGTTTCTGGGTGTTTTCCACACCCTTTGCACCCACACAATATGTATGTGGTGAGTAATTAACATGTATTCTTGGGCATTTTGAGAAAATCCAAGATGGCCGCCATATGTCATAGGAATACTTCTAGTGTTACAAAAGGTTGGAACTAATGCCAGCTAATTCACTATCAAATTCAGTTTATTTTTTTAGTGTTACACATAATTATAACACTGTGATACATATCTAGCAGGTAATAAATGTGCATATTTGATCATTTCGAGAAAATCCAAGATGGCCGTCATTGGCCATAGGAATACTACTGGAATTACAACTGCACATCCATGGCTTTTCGTCTACTACCAGGGTGAAATTGTGTTTGCTTATCAAGTTTTGCCCATCCTTATTAGTCCTATGATATATATATCTGGTGGGTAAATAGTGTGCATCCTTGGATATTCTGAGAAAATCCAAGATAGCTACAATTTGACATAGGAATACAAATGGGTTGGTTTCAAATGCTGCTAGAGAGGCATATGGTTTATTATACAATTACATTACCTTGGGTTTGTTTTAAAAATAATTTATGTTTTTCATTCCATTTATTATTACTACTATGATGTATACCTGGTCTGTAGCATGTGTGTAACTTGGGTATTCTTTAAAAAATTCAAGATGTCTGCCTTTTGTCATTAGAATACTCGAACACATAATCAAATAATGCCAGAGATACAATGAATACAATGTAAATGCAGTTAACTTTAGATCATTTTTAAATGTTTTTCATATCCTATTTATCCTTATGAAAGACTCTGTGTGTAGAAAGTATATGTATCCTTTCGGAGAAAACCCAAAATATCTGCCAGTTGTTATAGGAATATATCATTCAAATGCAAATAGGTGTCAATTAATGGAACAGTTCAGGCATTGATTCCAACATGAAATAAAGCCGTTTGATGTTCAATCATGTTGACATCCTTATTAACCTTACTCTATATAAATCTGGTGTGTAGCAAGTGTGCATCTTGCGCATTTGAGAAAATTCAAGATTGCTGCAATTCACAATAGGAATAGTACATTCAACTACTGCCAGAGAGATATTGGGTTCAATGTAAAATTAATTTTGTTTCTCGGTATTTCCCACATTCTTTTTGGACTTTGAGATATCTATCTGGTGGGTAACAAGTGTATACCCTTAAGTATTTTGACAAAATATCATGATTACCCTCATTTGCCTTAGAAGTGCCTATAAAATCTAATGCACCAGTTTTCCTATGGGGAAAAGAAGGCCATCTTGGATTTCCCCAAAATGAAAAAATATGGACATTAATTACCTATCAGATATGTATAATGGGATAATAATACTAAAAAAAACAGAATAACAACTGAATTCAGCTTCATTTTATATGTAAGCCTATCTCCCACAGGTATTAAGTGAACCCCACCTTTTATGGCTAAGGGCAGCCAATTTTTTTTGTTTTCTTTTCAAAAAGGATACACATAATATTCTCATCATATATATATTATGTGAATTAAAAAGATGTGGAAAATACTCAGAAACAAACCTAATTTATCAATTAATATTAAATCTCCATGGCAGAATAAGCCCTATGTGTATACTAGTATTCCTTTGATATGGCGGCCATCTTGGATTTTTTCTCGAAATGCCTGAGAATAAAGGTTAGTTACTCACCACAAATATATAATTTGTGTAAAAAGAAACAATTAGATAGTGGACAATGCATCTTCCTAGTTGGCATTAGTTAGTTGAAAACCTGTGTACAAGATCTAGTATTCCTATGCCATATGGCGGCCATCTTGGATTTTTTCAAAAAGTCCAAGGACACTACTTTGTTACCTGACACAAATGCATAATATGGGTAATAAGGATGTGGAAAATATTGAGAAAATACTTAATTTATAAAAATCAACATAGGTATGTATATATTTCTACAGAATTTCACAAATTGGCGGCCATTTTGGATTTTTTGGCCAAACGGTAAATTTTTTTCCGTGGGCTACGGCTCTAATTTGATTAAGTATGTCAAAAGGTACCCACATGCAAAATTTGGTGCTTTTATCCGCCGTGTCACGATTTGGCCATTTTTTTGCCCTAAGCCACCGGACTAACATTGGTACATGCCACTACTTAAATATTTAATTATTTTATATCTTTTATGTCCTCAGATCATTAAGAGACAGCCTGGCAGTCTAGGAGCAAGGAGATGGTCCCTGTATGGGCGTCTGTACCTGAGGCATTTCAACGAGCTAGATCACGAGTTTGAGGCCCGTTTAAATCGAGGCTACAAACCAGCCGAGGAATACATGAATATCTTTACTTCCCCTGTATTAGTTATTCTTGCCAAGTAAGTACAGTCAAGATCATAGCAAATATAATATAATATAATTTACTGATGGTGAATCATTCAGGTGATAAATTTGGAAAAAAAATTAATGTAATTATGTTGATGTAATGCACTTTGAATGAAAAGATGTGTTCTCTATGAATGATAGATGGTTATTATTGTCTTTTTCAAAAAAAATTAAATTATTATTATTATTTAAATTTTATTTATTTATTTATTTATTTATTTATTTGTTGTGTGAAATGTGAGACTATATGTGATTAAGGATATTTTAAGCGGAGCCTTTGCATATTTTCAGGAATGTGGTGTTCTTTGCTGGTGCTGTGCTGGCCGTGCTGATCATCCTGACCCTGATAGACGAGGACACACTACAAGTAGAGAATATTCTGAGGATGATGACTATACTGGGAGCTGTGGTGGCTGTGTGTAGGGCTGTTATACCTGCTGAGGTAATATAGTAGTTTACTTGGGTTAAGGTCTGTGTGTGTGTGTGTGTGTGTGTGTGTGTGTGTGTGTGTGTGTGTGTGTGTGTGAGAGAGAGAAAGAGAGAGAGAGGGATGAGGGAGGGAAAGGGGTGAGGGGGGACTCCCTGCAAGAAGGGATAGAAAAGCAGAGGGGGAAATGGTAGGAGATATTTTCAGACTGCCATATTAGCAGAGGGAATGAAGTTCTGGGTGGTTTATTCAGAATTTAGGAAGGGAGGTAGCTGCTGGTGGTAAGGGCAAAGTGAACAGAAATAGAGAGTAAGAACTTAGAAGTGTTAAGAATAATACCATGTGTTCAATATAGCCATTTCAGCAAGGATACGATAACTGTGCTTATTATGATCAAAATATATTAAATCTTTAAAAATATTGTTTTTCTTAACTTCAGCATATGGTGTTCTGTCCGGAGTTTCTGATGACCCACATCTTGAAGGAGGTCCATTATATCCCTGACTCCTGGAAAGGCAATGCTCACACTCACAAAGTCAGACAGGAGTTTGCACAGCTGTTCCAGTACAAGGCTGTGAGTTAACAGTTATTATTATATTTATTTATTTATGAATTTTCCAAAAGGTTATTATCACACACATAGCCAGGAAGGAGTAAGTGAACAGTTAAAATATTATTTTGTATTTATTTATGTTAAGTTTTTGTTAAGTTTTTTTATCACACAGAGAGCCAGGGGAGGGGTTTGCACAGGCTTTCCAGTACAGGACTAGACAGTTTATTTATTTATTTATTTATTTATTTATTTATTTATTTATTTATTTATTTTATATTTGTTAAGTTTTTTATCACATACAGAGTCAGGAAGGAGTTTGCACAGCCTTTCCAGTATAAGACAAATAACAGTTTATTTATTAATTAATTAATTAATTAATTTATTTATTTTATTCTTCAGCTTTATCTCCTGGAGGAGTTAATCAGCCCCCTGGTGACCCCCCTGATCCTCTGCTTCTCAATACGCCACAAGGCTTACGATATTGTCGACTTCTACAGAAACTTCACTGTAGAGGTCACTGGTGTCGGTGACGTCTGCTCATTTGCTCAGATGGACATAAGAAAACATGGCAATCCCCAGGTATAGAAGGATATTATCAGGCTTTTTTTTTTCACAACTTTGGAAGAATGTATAATGATTTGATTTTTTGAAGTGTTTGAAAGCCAGAACATTGGATGCAGTGATTTAGTAAACTGTTCAAAATGTTACAAAAAAAAAAGACAATGGATTTATCCTCTTTAAAACTTTATACTCTATATCCTGATTTTTGTGCTGGCTGCAATATGGTATTTGCTGGCTGGCAGACATGTTTAGAATCAGCCTGGACAGCTCAAATTTTCACAAATTTAAAACAGCTGCAGCTGTAATTGCCAAAGCAAAAAAAGAAAAAAAAAATCACATAGCTTTTTCTTCATTAGGGCAAAAGGCCCAGCAGTAATTGCATGATGTAGATGAATCCAAATCCAATATTTCATGTGGTTTCCATTTTCTAGGTTTATTAGATATGATCATGAGTTTTCTATTAGTTATTGTTCATGAAATTCGAACAACATTTAATAACCTGCTGGTCCCCCAAAACAAATAATAATGATAATGTTATATTTAAAAATATTGGTGCAGAAGTTCGCTGCTTTGTAATGTTATTTGGATTGGTGTCAGAATGTAGTATATAGTTGTTAGTGTCTGAAAATGATAAATCTTCCAAAAGTCAGAAAAAGCATACATTTGAAAATATTGAGTAATTACCTTATTCCTAATTCCAGTGGGTAAAAGAAGAACAGACCCAGGCAGACCTGTACCACCAGGCTGAGGATGGGAAGGCGGAGCTGTCACTCATGCATTTTGCTGTAAGTTAAATGATAATATAATATAATATAATATAATATAATATAATATAATATAATATAATATAATATAATATAATATAATATAATATAATAACACTGTCACTTAGACTGCATTCAAGGTATTTTCCCAGCAAACTGTCCAACCATCATTTGGATGGCCACCTGCATTACCAGATGGCGTATATTTTCATGTTGCTCTTTTGATATCTGAAATAATCTGAAATTTTTCATGCTCTGTTTTCAGCTCACCAATCCAGAATGGAAACCCCCAGAGAACTGCAGTGTGTTTCTGAATGACATCAAGGATCAGGCCGTCAATGACGCCAACGCAGCAGTAGTGGCCCCTGGGGATAACGCCCTGTTTACTTCTCTACACACCTTCTCTGCCCTAAGTCCAGGCGTGGTTAGTATTATTGTAATTAGACCCGTTATAGTTAAAGGTCTAATAAAAATTTTTGAAATGTATCTCAAATTTGACATTTTTTCTTTACATTTATATGATTTGAAGTTTTATGTTTAATCAATCAGTAGCAGTATGCTAAAGCTGTTTCTTTCTTGAACTAAGCAATTATCCAAATATATGCTGAAAATACTTGGAGAATACTCTAAAGACTAACATTATTCGAGAATGTTTTAAATGTAGATATTTTTCCTTTCCTCCCCCCACAGTACAACAGCATCAACATCTCTAGTGTAGTCCCAGGACCATCCGGGATGGCATCGGCTCATCATAGCATGCGCCCCCTGGGGACTGTTCCTGGCCCTATGAGTCCCCCTGGTGGCAGTCACCTGAGGGGGGCTGGTGTGGCACATGCTGAGGGCCCACTACAGGGGAGTGGGAAGGGAATCCTGGCCAGTCTACACAGCTCTGGAGCTCTGTCTGGCAGTGCCACTGGGCTGGGTGAGTATCAGTGTGTGTGTGTATGTGTGTGTGTGTGTGTGTGTGTAAGCATGTGTGTATAAATGTGTGTGTTTGTGTGTATAAGCATGTGTGTGTGTGTGTGTGTGTGTGTGTGAATGTGAGTGTAAGCACGTGTATGTGTGTGTGTAACTTGCAGGCAAAGCCACTTGTAAAGGCATTAGTATCAAGGTGTCTATATGTGTGTGTTTTTAATGTGTCTGAGTGTGCAGGAATTTTTTTCCTCTTTCTATTTTTTTCTCCAGTTGTATGTAATAAGTCATATTCTTAACACAAAGATTCTGCTGGTCACTAAGGCCTTAATAACATAACCACCACGTTTTCTGATGGAGCAGTAAATGTTAAGTGAGCAATAATGAAACTATAACTAATAGGTATGCATGTAAACCTTTATATTTATACACACTAGAAAAGCACAGACTTCCGCCAAGGCAGCAATTTATTATTATTATTAATTATTGATTGATTATTGATCTGAATCATCACCAAAAACTAATCATCTGTTCCTTAGCCCACTTCTGACAGTTCCTGAAAATTTCATCAAAATCGGTCCATAACTTGAGTTATGTTGATGACAGACAGACAGACAAACAAACAGGGGTGAAAAAATAACCTCCTTGGCGGATGTAATGAGTATGTCTTTGTCTCCCTAGGTTCTGGTCCTACCAGTCTGGACACCGGTCACTTCCTGTCCAGTGAAGTCTCTCAAGAGCTGAGCTCTGCTGAAATGAGTTTCAGCGCCCTCTATATACATGAGCTCCACAGGCGCCGCAGACAGGGGCAACACAGATTAGAGTATCTGGACTTTGACGGTCACCCCCATGTAGAGCTTCAGGAACTGGGCACGAGGTTGACCTTTGACCTTGACCCCATGCCAGGTCACGGAGGGGTCAGAGGTCGTATGTCGCATATAGTGGAGAGCCCCCAGGAGGAGAAAAGCGAGGAGGAGATGAGCAACGAAGATGCTATCACTTTTGTTTCATTCGATGAGAGAGTCACCAAGTCCACGTGATGCATGTCTTCATGAATTTTAACGTGTCAACTTTTATTTTTGAAAGAAGTCACTTGTAGAACGCTTTGATCCTAGGTGTACTTTTCTGAGGAGCGGGTTTTCTGATAAATCATGTTATGTATCCTTCAGATAGAAAAAAGTTTTAAAAGTGGGTGATATGAGTATTAATGTAGGCTGAATTGAGAAATCTGTTCTTTAACAGCCATACTATCAAGTGGATAAATTTGAAGTGCCACACAAGTTTAATACCAAGTTAGTACTGCATAAGTTTGTTAAATTAGCATTTTGCATAGTTATAACAATTGTGACTGTCACAGTAATTCTGCAGTTTGTATAATTTTAGTTTGGGGATAGCTTGCCATAGTGTGATGTGTATTTTGTAAAGGATTTTTTTTTCTTTTTCGGTGCTGACACTCGTATGTATGTTGATAGTGGACTAAATTGGTGAGGGATAGAGGGATGATGTGAACATCCTCTCTTTGTGGTGCATGCAGCTTGTAGTGCCTCTTGTTTGAGAGGCAGCTGTTAGTAGAGTTACTGTAACAGCACTTACTGAAGGGATTGGAGGGGGGGAGTGAAAACCACACACACACACACACACACACACACACACACACACACACACTGAAATAGATGTGAAAGAAGCAAAGAAACATATAGAACTGGAGGTGACATGTGTAATGACTCAGTGGCGCCATTTTTTGATTTGGTCAAGAGTCATGCCTGTCATACCCTGTGTTTATCACTTAGTTTGGATCTCTCTGCAAGTTTTTTGAAGTCTTTTAAAACCTTCGCAGTAAAAAAAGGAGGGTTCCTTCTCTATTTTAGCTCTTATAACCAAATCATGACATTTGTATTTTCAGTTTGTGTTTTGTTCTCTTTTGCCCTCCAGAAATATATTCAGATCAAGAATTGTTTTGATTTGTGGAAACTACATGTATGGCTTAACACAAAAATATTAAGTAGAACCCTGTAAATTTTTTTCTTCGTAGTTGCCCCTTAAAGTTTTGGACTAACCTTCCCATCCTATCCCTGCATTTTTTTCTATAAGTTAACATGTGTATCATGCAATTTTTGCTTGTTCATGTTCTGCATCTATCCATTTGAAGTATTATAATTACAAACACAATATACTTTAATAAGCTGTTCTTTGCCCAATCTCATTAACACCTTACTGAATACTTTTGAGGTAGTGCTTTATCCAGTGAAGTATTTTAGTTGTAAGAAAATAACTTCCTTTCACCAGTCCCAGTTTCCAGTCGTTATAAGACTTCTACTTTTACACATTATTATTCTTAAATTGAGACATATCACCTAGATTTAAGAGAAGAGCAGGTTGTATTCGGGGTGTGGTGTTTTAACATAATGCGTGTATATAAACTGAAAGTATATTTGTATAGCTGGTCTATATGGTTAGAATATTGGCGCTGCTGGTAATTAAGATTAAGTCATAATGTTACATATTATACCAAATTTAATTTATACTTGGTAGTGATACGTTATCTTAAGACCTCAGGTATATTGCTTTGTTTGTGATATGTATCAAATGTTCACTTAGTTTGTTTTAATAATAATGATTATTGAGGTTTAATCATATTTATAAACTGTAAATATATATTAGTGTAGTATTCGCGGCCTGAACTTTTTTTCCAGCCCACACCCGATTATGAAAATGCATTCGTATTGTTTGAAAGCATCGTGTATTTATATTTGTTTAAAAACAACCGCTTAAGTTTTCGGGTTTACTTTGAAATTCCTGTTGTCACGATGAATGGATGCATACACGTGTAAGACAAATATTTACTAGTGCACAGAAAAAAAAAGTGCTGCCGAGAATTTAGTTCATGAATAGTTAGATTTGGAACCGCTTTCAAGAAGCATTGTTGTCATGACAACATAGGCTATCGAGTACATTGTAAAAATGCATGTTGTTCATGTAATTGGTTTTAATAAAATAAATCAATATATAGTGATAAAGCAATTACAAACAAGTACTATTGGTGTTTAAATTAAAACGGGGATGATGTTTTCTATGAACGAAAGGTGTGCAGGAAACAAGCAATTAAAGGGGGGTATTAGCAAAAAGCAAAGCAAACGAGAACGAGCGGAGGAGCATGAAGATATGAATCGGGTCGGGGTGACAGGAATGGTAGTCCTAGAAATTGTGGAAGTCCTGTTTCATATGATTAATGGGCCATTCCACAATCTGAATAAGGTGGATATTTGAATCCCGTCACTGACGTCTGTTACGCTCAAAGTTTGTGTAATATCTTTGGATATACATAGCCAGCAATTTCTTTTTCTGAAAAAGTGGACCGTTTACCATGAAACATTCATACTTTCATAAAATTTTACCCAAGGGGTACCTTTTCCCGACAGAAAAGGGGCGATCTTCCGACATCACGAACACAAACGTGTTGCACAGTTGAATAATGCATGAAAAATAATTTTCTGGATTGCCTTTTCTGAGTTGTGTTTTTGAATCAGGACTTAATAGTTGATAAATCAGATTAGGATAAAAATAATGGTGGATGTGAGTTTGCATTCAGAAATGCATGTATATAAATACTGATTATGATTGTTTTTAAAAGCAATGATGCAATCGTATATGCGTGTGTATTTTGTTATCACACGTGTGTTTCTGGGCCGCTATACCAGTGAACATTTCTTGTAAACCGATACATAAATAAGAGGGTGTGTTGCCATTTTGCTTCTCAATTCAAAGCGGTTATACTATATGCAATAATACAATGTGTAATAACACATTTTGAGGACAAAAACTTTAAGCCGTTGGGATTTTATTGATACGAGCCCAACTGAGTAACAGAAAAAATCAAGAAACTACAAAATAGACTTTAACCTTAAAACCACAGATATAATGTCATCAGCAAAATCACCATACCTCATCTGAAGACAATTAAAAACCATGAACCTTCATATGGTACCTTTATATGGTAATATTATAACAGCTGGTATTATGTATAAAGGCGTTTTTAGCCTAAGTTTAACTAACTGGGCATATGCCCTTAAAAGTATTCAATAATTGTCTGAAAACATCCCCAAGTTATATCTGTATGTTTAAATATACTGTTATGTACCCTTTCAAGGCTCATTCCTTAACATGGTTATACATGTAATCCCTCAAATAAAAGTTGGCCTTCCTGGCGTCGGTGCTTCCTTCCAACTTGCCAGGGAAACAGAATGCTACTTTCTATCAGGGTGGCAGGTATCATAGGCAAAATTTCAAAAAGCCAATCAAATGACTGTCTATTTATCTAAAGATGTATCTGTGAATATCTTGTGAAAAATCAATCTGTGCCGGGTGGTAAAGGGAAACAGAATGCAGTCTAAATGGGTCAAGATTCATTTAGAACTATGTGATTAGCCATGTTTCAAAACTAGTCGAAAAGTTTTCATTTATGATAGATTCACATATTTGATTTACCTGTTGAATGTTTCGTCTTTTCACCCTGGCAGACTTGATCACAAGTAAATTATCTGTCCAGGTGAAGGTGAACAGGTAATTACCTCAATCTTAGTGATGACTTGTTAGTCCCTCTCGCCCCCGTTTTCCGGAGTGGGTTTGAGAATATCATCATACTCATGGGGCAGTTTGTGTGCCCCTTTATTTGTGTTCATGGTGTGTTTCTTTCTTCTTATACAGATGGATTCCAAAACGTTGCGTTTGTTGTAATTACTCACTGGTTAGCACTAAATAGGATCTATTCCCATAGATTTTAGATCGATCTATCCCCGCGGGGAGTCTCACTAGATTACTTTCAGATAATCCGACTTAAATGTCCGTCCCGCCTACTACAAGCTGTAAGTGGGTAATTAACTTTCGTGTCCGCCCGATTAACAGCTATTTAGCGTGAACCCCCAGGGAGTTAGGTCGATCTAAAGTAGGTCGATCTAATCTATGGAAATGGGGTGATAGTATTGTCCCAATTTGGCACACGGTTGTTTTCTGACATATGATCCGTAAGGTCTGATTTGCGTAACACTCCTGTTTACATAGAGCGTTTGTGTTGACTCCCTCACTTGCATTTTCCTTTACATCTTTCTGGTGCTCCTGTAGTCTTGGTCCTAGTTTTCTTCCCGTTTCTCCAACATATACTCTGTCACAGCTCCCACAGCCGATCCTTCTTGGTGTCCCCTATCAATTGTTTTTTTGGGGTGTACTAGAAAGTTTCTCAGTTCTGCATGTGGTTTAAATGACGTTCCGATGTTTTCCTTCCTCGACGAAACAATCAACGGGTAAATCAAATATGTGTATCTATCATAGATGAAAACTTTTCTACTAGCAAAACTGGCATCCAATGGAATTTTGACAATGTTTCAAAACATGCAATCAGACTGTTGAGACGGATTGAGCAATAATTTGTTATAACGAACATAAGGTTCGACGCGCAAATCCTTTATAATATACCTTAGGCGCAAATCGGGGGCAATTTAACTTCACGTATAAGAGTTTGATCGTTACACCCAGAAATATAAACTTACGTCTATTATCATTCAAATAAGTAGAACATTGACACTCATCCGTTAATCCCATTTCGTTTGAAGAATGACTATTATATATTGATATTATAAGAAAAAATTAATTAAAACCCTCGGAGGCTGCATCGATTCTCATTTCTTACGGTTGCCTCATATCAGCCGTTGGACCATTCGGTTATATACAGTTCCAAAAAAGTAACATAAAGTTAAATCAAAAGTCGCTAATTGATATGCGTGGTCTTCTTCAAATTTATCCATAGTCATGGTAGTTGGGTCTTTGATAATAACCCACTACCACAAGATAACCTAGGACAGTTATCCCCAATAATATTCACCGTGTTTTAGGTACCATTCTATAGTTTTCTTCAGACCTTCTTTCCAGCTTGTCTTGGGTTTCCAACCCAGTAAATGGAGCTTTGTGGAATCAATGACGTAGCGTGTGTCGTTATAGGGACGATCCTTGACGTGTTCGATATTCATTGGCTTTCCCAAGATCTCGTGCAGTTGCTTGGCGATGGACATCACAGTATGCTCGTTGTTAACGCCGATGTTGTACGTTTGTCCAATGATACCCTTATGGAGAAGGAGGTCAAACGCTTCAACGGCGTCTCCCACGTAGAGGAAGTTGCGCAAATGTTGGCCGTGGCCGTAGATTGGACACGTTTTGCCTGCTCTGATGTTTCCAAGAAACGATGGAATGACCTGCAAATATAAATTTTCACACACATGTCAAGTTCTGTGCACATTACAAAAGAGGACAGGGCTACATCTTAAAACGAATAAAGACAGCAGAGAAAAATAAGATTAATTTTTTCATTTGACATTTCTTTTTTATGTCGGAATTTTGGAGCCAGTTGTTATAGATCACAATTGTGAAACCTTAAAGAATCCGTGGCTCAATAACAAGACTAATCGAACCTGATGGCGGTGGGCTAGAAGAATGCCACCGATCTGCCAAACTTTACCATTCGTGGTGTACTCTAAGAGGGTCTCTAGTAAAACGGCCTCACGTCAACTTAAATAAAACGTACTCGTAAGGGCCAGCGAGGCATAGCCCTCACCCTTTGGTCAGTCACGCCAGTTGCACGCCGTTAAGTGGGGATCTAAGTCTCTCTCCACCCCACAAACTACCAGGCTACTTTCTGACCACAAAGCCCCCTAGTAGTTTGTTTAAATTGTTGAAAATTATTGGCTCTTCTTCTATTTTGTAAAGTGTGCTAGAGGTCCCTGTGTATCAGAGTGTAACAAACGGCCAGCATCCCCGTAATTTATTATTTTCTGAACGATTAGACCTCACTTCTCTTCCTGAACACCTGATAAAAAATATGCAGAACCATTACAAGTTACCTTTTCTGGGTACTGCGCCGGCCCGTACACGTTGTTGCTGCGCGTGATGATGACGGGGACGTGGAAGGAGTGATGGTAAGACTGGACCAACATCTCAGCCGCCGCCTTGGACGCCGAGTACGGGTTGGTCGGGGTAAGGGTGGCGGTCTCCTTGCGTGGAATTCCGTCTTTCACTTCGCCATACACCTGTGAGAGGTCATTTTATTATGTATGACACCGATGATGTGACAAAAATTCAATGTTCTCTGACTACGTATGTTCAACGTTAAAACTGCATTACATGTCAAATTTTGACTTGTCAACATCTTGACCAAAACTTTAACTAAGACGTTTAAGCAACCTTTTTTAGATTGAGATATAGTTCCAAATAAAACAACGGAGAGAAATGCCAAAGGCCATCGTTTCATATTACCCGAAAATGATATTTGAACGGATTTTTCTACTTGCTTTCTGTGCTGACTAACGACCAAATATTTGAAGAAAGGGGCAGATTAAAGCTCTCTTTAGCTGATCGATTTTTGCATAATAAAAAAAGGGGCCATTTTAAATTTGAGTCTTTTACATCTGGACCAAATGTTTAACCAAATGCAATTTTTTACCAACTTGGATTTAAATCATAAAAGTTTTTTTAATATACTGGACGATTAAAAGAGTAAAAATTAAAAGACAAATTTAGGGTTTCCTGTTCGGAAGTTTCGCTCAATAACATTTTTTGCATAAATTATAGGGCCTCGTGACTTTGGGGCATTGCCTTAAATTGATTAGTTCAAAATACCATTTCATTATAACAGCATGTCTGTTAAGATTCAAAACCTTATTAAACCTGACGTCACATACCTCATCCGTGCTGACGTGAAGGAAGAGCTCCACGCCAAAATGTCTGGCGCAGTGGAGCAACGTGTGAGTTCCAATGACGTTAGAATTGGTAAAGGCGTTGGAATTATTGAACGAGTTGTCAACCAGGGTCTCCGCTGCAAAATGCATCACTGTGTCGATCTGGTAGGTCTCGAAAATCTCTTTCATCTTCTCGGCATCGGAGATATCGGCTGAAAAAAAAATACATTTATGGATGCGTGTGTAGATGGATTGAAGATGACGTCATAAGCAGCGACTTTCATAATGATCCTCACTTAAAAAATCTCTAAATAGCTACTTACGTCAAACACTTCTTAAAGAAACGTCAATATTTATTTGTTGTTTTTTAAACGCATGTCATCTTTTATTTTGCCATCTTATTTAACACAAATATATACATAAAAATGATATCAAATGAGATAAAATTCCATACCTTTGATGAAAACAAAATTGGGTTTGTTCGCAGAGGGATCAAGGTTCTTCTCATTGGAGCAATACGTGATCTTATCCACAACAACCACGTGGTAAAAGCTGTACCGCTCCACAAGGAAGTTAGCCACGTGCGACCCAATGAAGCCAGCGCCGCCTGTCAGCAGTATGTTTTTCCGGACGTTCTTCTTCATTCTGGTGAAGACGTCTTGGATGGAAACGCTAATGTGCGGGATTTGGCACTCGGGCAGGGCCGACTCCAGTTTGGTTGTATCAAGGCAGTTGTCTGACCGACCGGCCTTTATCAGGGTCTTGAGGACTTCCTTATTGACGAGCTGGTAGGTATGGTTAGGGTCAATGAGGCTTTTGTACAGCGCCAGGATTTCTGAGTGACTGATGACACCAGGGTTGACAAAGTTGTAGACACCTAAAATGATTTCGCAATTGCAAAACTGATGACACCCGGGCTGACAAAGTTGTAGATACTTAAATGGTTGCAAAATTGTTGGAATAAAGAACTTTCGTCTGTACGATTTGGATCTTATGAACTTATTATATGACACATGGAGCCTCCACCCACCCCCCCTCGCGTGATTTCGCCACTGCAATCAAATAAGTTTCTCAAAAAATGTGAAGATCTAACGCGGCCATGATTACCAAGGATAACTTTAAGCTTATCTGTCCGTTTGGCCGATTCGAACATAAGTGACGTAAGCGCAAACAAACTATGAATCCCCAGTACTGAAATTAACATTAAAGGGATAATAACTGTTACTTTTCGTACGAGATCCGTATTTCACAATAAATACAACTCACAGAAATATTGTAAATTCTTTTTTACCACCAAAACAGCGGTTCTCACAATATTTGTGGAATCTGTGCTTGCCATCGGACCACGTGGCCTCCATAGATGGCTACACTCTGTAATTATCTCTTAAGAAGACTATTACAAATAACCAAACCTTTTTAAAAAAACAAAACAGGAACTAACTTTTAATCACGGAACGGATTCATTTACAATTGGTTAATATGGGGAAATTGTCGTTTACCCCTGAAATATCCTTTATTATTATTATTTTTTTTTTGGCAAAATGAACAGTTTTTATCTAGATGCTTTCTCTTTATAAAATACATAATATTATACGAAAGTGATGGAACCCTTTAGTTCACTGTATTCAGGATGGTTTTTACAAAAAAAAAAGTTTGAGTTTTGAAGCTGTACAACAGTATCTGTATATCAGAATAATTTTAAAGGACAAAGTTACCGTAGCTAGGTTCTAAATGATTTATTGCTGAATATACAGATTCTAAACCTGAAGGAGACTATAGAATACCAGCATGTGTTTTACGGTAAGAAATGTATAAGAACAGACAAGACCATATAATGTGTGTAAAATGATATTTCGTGCTGGAAGGTTTTATCTAGACAAGGTAGTCTTGGTAATCTGATTGCATTCAGCGAGAGTCCCTGTGGACGATGTGCGCATAAGCTAAGTCGACAGAATCGATTGTGAACGGACCCTTAGACCTTTTTACCTGTCAGTCCTTTCTCCATCATCACGAAAGTGAGCGGAAGTAGATCGTGAAGTACGCTCACTGCATTCGGAACGTCGCAGATCTTCGGGTAATTGGTTATTTTCGTGATGAAGTTCCTCGGGTGGAGATCGTCGGAAATGGGCATGCGCACACGAAGGGTAAGGACATTGGAGTAAGAGTGTAGCAAACTGAAAAAAAAATTAAATTAAATTAATTAAGAATAATATAACAATGAGAATAATTACTATAATTATAATTATAATAAACAAAATAAAGAACGGATGACCATTTCATTTCATCGCTGGGCTTCAGAAGATATAGGCCTACTCTAGTTACACCAAATTCTATTTCAGATAAGGAAACTTGTTGCCTTTAAAATTAACTAGAATAGAATTATTATCTTTATTAAAATGTTTTGTATGCCTGATGGCGTACTCGAAATTAGGTGGTCTTATATATATAAACAATGGTGTCGCAAGGCGTTCTTTACGAAAGTAACGTCTCGTGATCAAACCGCCGTACACTAATCTGACTAATCTCTAATTTCTATGGAAAGAAATGCTTTGAGAGAAATCTCCATAAATAAATTTGTAGCTACATTTGCATAAATGAAACCGTTAAAAGAACGTTTTTGCGAAAGAAAAAAAAAACAAAAAACAAACGATGTCTACCTCTCTACCATTCCCTTTGTCTTTGAGTAAAACGACCCGGTAAAATTGGGAGCGTCTTCTTCAGTGAACCCCCTTCCACCGATGGGGTGGTTCTCATCGTATTCGTAAATGCACCCGGTGCCGAAGTAAGTCACGTGGATCCCCCTGGTGGCGCAAAGGTCAACTACCGTTAACAGACCGATGACGTTTGCTCGGATAGTCTCCTGCTGATTACTGTCGCACCAGTCAACGTTGGGGCGCCCGGTCAAGCCTGCATAAATGTTGAATGGTACACAAAGAGCGCGTTATATATTAATACAGACTTCTGTGTAGCATTGTGTTAACTTCCATCGAAAATTTAATACTTTTCCTTTAATCATACAATATCCAAAGTTGCTATAATAATTACGATTTGAATGAGTGAATGTTATAGTCGTCTACTACAATGCAATCGATCGGCTAGTCACTTTATTACACGTTAACAGAGTACCTTGGCAAGAATTTTGAAATCTAGGATTAAAAAAAAGTTATTGTGTATTTTTACAAAATAAATCCCATTTCACAGTTCATCGAGCTACATGTACATATACCTTTCAGACAAAACTTCGTGTCAGTACCCCTACAAAAATATCCTACATAGGGTGTCTTTTAGGACTGCATGGGAAGATTTTAGAATCCTACAGTACACTAAGGGGTTTTGGGGCAATTTCCTTTGGGACGCATCATAGGACCCTATGGTTCATTTTCGTAAGGGAACCATTAGAAGGGAGGCTTCCTTATCATAGATCTTAAAGAATATATCCGATCTTGTGACACTTTTACTGTTTGACGTTTAGTAGAAATGTGATGAGGCACAACACACACACACACACACAGAGAGAGAGAGAGAGAGAGAGAGAGAGAGAGAGAGAGAAATGGACCTGCTGCTATGATGACGTATTTGGGTTGAACGGCATCCAGTTCTCGTTCTACTTGTTCTCGCTCTTCCATCCGGGAGTCTGAACACGTGACCTCATAGGGCTTTTCCACCATCAGTCTCAGCAACTGGCTGCCAATCCATCCAGTTTTTCCAAACAGGTGCACTTTCACCGTGGCCGGCATATCTAGCTTATTTTTCCAAGTGGTGGTTTTGCTTACTTATTACTCAATATTTTAGAAATGTCGACGAGACTGAAAATTGAGTAGAACAAGCGTCATTACTTAAAACACAACAAAACAAAATGCGCTTGGACCTAGGAAATCGTCCGCTGTTTGTGGTTGTGGTTTATAAGAGTTTGCAACATAAAGCTGGTACTAACTTCTTAGATATACCGCGGGTATAATCTAGACGCTAGGGGCTCTAATCCACCGCTGGGAGATTCTAGGTACTATACTCGATTCCCGACTTTGGTTATGCCCGGAGAGAAGAGAAATGCTAGGCTGACACTTGCACGACTTTTGGCCCCGATATTGTCGTGGCAAGTCGTGCCATTTTGGGGCACGAAGTGGGAGGCTCCCGCACTGTTCCCTACTAGTTTACGCATAGTTCACGACGAGCTAACGAGTAGTTTACGAATGCGTGTCCACATTGACACGAACTGGCACGACAAGTTCCCGCATAGTTTGTGCATAGTTTACGCACTTCCCGCATTAGCACGACGAGTTTGCGCAATTTGGACGATGTCGTGCGGACTGGGGCACGCAATATACGTGAGCTGCTCGTGAACTATTCGTGGCATGTCGTAACAGTCGAGGCATGGCGCGCACTGCCACGCACTGGCACGCATCCTCTCGCATCGTCCCGACAAGTACACGACGAGTTCACTAACAGTTTGCGCATACGTCACGACCCGGTCGCGAAATTTTGTCGTGACCAAAATTTTGAACATTTCAAAATTCTCGTCCCGACATGACACGCAGACACGACGGGTTTACGCACACTTCACGCCAGTTTACGACTAGTTTGCGCACTGGCACGACTCGAGTAGTGCCAATGCGTGCCACAGAATCGTGCAAGTGTCAGCCTTGCTTAACGCAACACCTCTGTTTAGTTACCAAAATCAAAAAGTCCCCTATTGTCAGGTCGTAGCCTGGTTTTATACCTAACTTGGCGTGACAGACTTATATCTTTATTGTTACTTCACTATAATTAAAGCAGATAAGATAAGAGCAAGATTAACGTTAGATAAAAGATATAAACTTCTATTGAAACTTATTACGAGTCGCGCGCCCGAGCCCGCGACTCTGATCGAATAAATTTTCATTTTTATTAATGTTAAATTTTACTGGTCTGAACATGCCTTCATTTTTCACAAAAAATNAAAAAAAAAAAAACAAAAAACAAACAATGTCTACCTCTCTACCATTCCCTTTGTCTTTGAGTAAAACGACCCGGTAAAATTGGGAGCGTCTTCTTCAGTGAACCCCCTTCCACCGATGGGATGGTTCTCATCGTATTCGTAAATGCACCCGGTGCCGAAGTAAGTCACGTGGATCCCCCTGGTGGCGCAAAGGTCAACTACCGTTAACAGACCGATGACGTTTGCTCGGATAGTCTCCTGCTGATTACTGTCGCACCAGTCAACGTTGGGGCGCCCGGTCAACCCTGCATAAATGTTGGATGGTACACAAAGAGCGCGTTATATATTAATACAGACTTCTGTGTAGCATTGTGTTAACTTCCATCGAAAATTTAATACTTTTCCTTTAATCATACAATATCCAAAGTTGCTATAATAATTACGATTTGAATGAATGAATGTTATAGTCGTCTACTACAATGCAATCGATCGGCTAGTCACTTTATTACACGTTAACAGAGTACCTTGGCAAGAATTTTGAAATCTAGGATTTAAAAAAAAGTTATTGTGTATATTTACAAAATAAATCCCATTTCACAGTTCATCGAGCTACATGTACATATATACCTTTCAGACAAAACTTCGTGTCAGTACCCCTACGAAAATATCCTACATAGGGTGTCTTTTAGGACTGCATGGGACTCTATTAGAATCCTACAGGACTCTGAGGGATTTTGGGGTAATTTCCTTTAGGACGCATCATAGGACCCTATGGTTCATTTTCGTAAGGGAAGCATTAGAAGGGAGGCTTCCTTATCGTAGATCTTAAAGAAAATATCCGATCATGTGACACTTTTACTGTTTGACGTTTAGTAGAAATGTAATGAGGCACAACACACACACACACACAGAGAGAGAGAGAGAGAGAGAGAGAGAGAGAGAGAAATGGACCTGCTGCTATGATGACGTATTTGGGTTGAACGGCATCCAGTTCTCGTTCTACTTGTTCTCGCTCTTCCATCCGGGAGTCTGAACACGTGACCTCATAGGGCTTTTCCACCATCAGTCTCAGCAACTGGCTGCCAATCCATCCAGTTTTTCCAAACAGGTGCACTTTCACCGTGGCCGGCATATCTAGCTTATTTTTCCAAGTGGTGGTTTTGCTTAATTATTACTCAATATTTTAGAAATGTCGACGAGACTGAAAATTGAGTAGAACAAGCGTCATTACTTAAAACACAACAAAACAAAATGCGCTTGGACCTAGGAAATCGTCCGCTGTTTGTGGTTGTGGTTTATAAGAGTTTGCAACATAAAGCTGGTACTAACTTCTTAGATATACCGCGGGTATAATCTAGACGCTAGGGGCTCTAATCCACCGCTGGGAGATTCTAGGTACTATACTCGATTCCCGACTTTGGTTATGCCCGGAGAGAAGAGAAATGCAAGGCTGACACTTGCACCACTTTTGGCCCCGATATTGTCGTGGCAAGTCTTGCCATTTTGGGGCACGAAGTGGGAGGCTCCCGCACTGTTCCCTACTAGTTCATGCATAGTTCACGACGAGCTAACGAGTAGTTTGCGAATGCGTGTCCACATTGACACGAACTGGCACGACAAGTTCCCGCATAGTTTGTGCATAGTTTACGCACTTCCCGCATTAGCAGATAATCCCGCATTGCGCAATTCGGACGGTGTCGTGCGGACTTGGGCACGCAATATACGTGAGCTGCTCGTGAACTATTCGTGGCATGTCGTAACAGTCGAGGCATGGCGCGCACTGCCACGCACTGGCACGCATCCTCTCGCATCGTCCCGACGAGTACACGACGAGTTCACTAACAGTTTGCGCATACGTCACGACCCGGTCGCGAAATTTTGTCGTGACCAAAATTTTGAACATTTCAAAATTCTCGTCCCGACATGACACGCAGACACGACGGGTTTACGCACACTTCACGCCAGTTTACGACTAGTTTGCGCACTGGCACGACTCGAGTAGTGCCAATGCGTGCCACAGAATCGTGCAAGTGTCAGCCTTGCTTAACGCAACACCTCTGTTAATTACCAAAATCAAAAAGTCCCCTACTGTCAGGTCGTAGCCTGGTTTTATACCTAACTTGGCGTGACAGACTTATATCTTTATTGTTACTTCACTATAATTAAAGCAGATAAGATAAGAGCAAGATTAACGTTAGATAAAAGATATAAACTTCTATTGAAACTTATTACGAGTCGCGCGCCCGAGCCCGCGACTCTGATCGAATAAATTTTCATTTTTATTAATGTTAAATTTTACTGGTCTGAACATGCCTTCATTTTTCACAAAAAAAAAAAAAAAATAAATAAATAAATAAATAAAAAAAAAAAAAAATTATGAAATACAAATTTTTCGTTAATACATTGCTTAAAACACTCGTTAATACATTGCTTATACATAGTTAAGATAAAGTCCTTTAATGCTTTTGTTTTATTCTTGATGAAAATGTTAAAGCTTGGTTAAATTTGATTAGAATATTTTCATGTACCTTTTATTATAGTAAACACTCTATCAATTACAGTGTATAAATATGAGTCGGTGAAATAGGTTAAAATTCGGTAAAAAAGGGAGATCTGTGTAGTGAATCGTTAATTAGTACTGATAGTCTTCTAAAATTCCACACATGAAATATGCATATTTGTTTAAGTTTTAATTATTCAAATGTATATAGCCATGACATGTTGCATGGCAGTTTAAGATTTAACTTTAATGTATCTACAATTAAGTTAATGTATATAGGCATGGCATGTTGCATGCCAATTATGGCAGTTCATTTGAAATGTAAATTATGATAGAGTATTAAAGAAGCGACAGAGCCATGGGGAGGGGGCATAACCGGAGAGAGATATAGACTGAGAGAGTAAGAGACATAGTTATAGATACCACAGAGCTAGAGATCATGTAGCAGAAAACTATACCTGCCTGTCTCAGTTGTCTTACTGGTGAAAAAGAAATCAAAGAACGTGAATAAGCACAGACTGGCTGCTGGTTTCCTTGATGAAGGTCAAAAATAAAGTGAAAGGAAGCCCTGTCACTCACAGGCACATGTACAGAAGCGTTCTGATTCTGAAATCTCAGAAAATGAATAAAGAAAACCAAGAACCTTCAATAGTTTTACTTAGATAAATACTGATCAAAGGCACTGAGGTCAAACAAGTAAAAGAAAATCAATATTGAAAGTCAACTCTGCAGGAAAAGAAATACTGACAACCCATATATCTAAGATGCTGACGGCATGGAACATATTCAGTAATGAATAAATTATAACCTAGTATAAAGGCATGGTCTCTGTTACATATTCAGATATATACTCAAAAGCTTCAAGCTGGTGGAATATATTGACGTCTATGATCTGTACCTGTATATACAATTTTGAAAGTAGTGACAGCGTCTTGCAAAAAAGATGAAGACATGCAACGACCCGTATCATTCTTTCGCAGTTTCATCGTATGCCCAATACCGCCTAGAGCCAATTAGACAATGAAGCCATTTTTGCTCATCGATAACTCTTATATGTTTTCTACAACGTGTGTGTAGAATTCCAAAACGCACAACTATTTTTCATACGTGCATGTATTTTCTCATTTCTGTTTAATTTTTCAACTGTTTTAGTTTGAAATCTGAAATTGGATGAACTTCATCGGTGGATACAGTAGACGTGCTTAAAAGGACAACAACTGTTCATTTTGGCCAAAGAAATTAATTTTCCTGGAGTAAACGACAATCTTCTCATACTTACCAACGTTTAATGAATCCATTTCAACATTCAAAGTTAGTCCATGTTCTTTTTTTCTAAATTTTTTGTAATTTTGTCTTTTTTCGCCTTAATTTTTGTGTCATTTTTCCAAGGTGGTTAGATATGGTGATTGGTCTTTTTATGCTAGTGGGGAGAGAGAAGTCCAAATTCATCTACTAGCAGCCAAAGCACGTGCTTAAGACACCGCGGCTAAGTGGACAACAAACTGTCAAGGGTTAATATATTTATAAAAGGGAAATTTTAGATGGAAATTGAGAACAAGATAGAAAAGTAGAATTGTTTATGAAAAGTTCATAGCAATTTTTTTTTATTTTTAAGGGGAACACTTTATGCTCGAAGAGACCAATAGCCATCCCGACCCAGGGGAGAAGTCATAATTAGGTTAGACACAATTCACTCGCTCCCCAAAAAAAAATTGGCCAAACGTTAATCGGATTTGGTCTTTATCTTTATTTTATATGCCTGAATGGAAAATACTTCGATATGATATTCCAGATGTGTATCAATTATGCAGCACTTGCATCTACCACGATATCATCTTTGCCCTTGGAATTTATATCAGCCGAGAAATACTGAAATCGTAACATTTTACTGACATGGGGTTTACCGAAAACAACAAACTAAAAGTTGGAAATTTGTGCTAGCACTGGACATTCTGACAGCCTGACAGCGTTATATGAGACAAATTTTCGCAGGGGAGAAGACCTACATGTAGATCAATTTTTTTTTCAAAGTTGATCATTTTCCACTCGCCCCTTCCAACCTCTTTCCCGCCACCGGTCTGGTAATTATGATTGCAAAGTACATGAAAGCCAAATTAACTATTGTATGCTGTCATTTAGTGGTTTTAAGTTGTCATTTGTTCCTGCATCTGCACAAGCTATGAAACTGATGAAATTATAAATGGATTATTACGCACCCGTTTAACTTTTTCAAGAAATCGCCGTTAAATACTGTTACTAATATAACGTACACTTCTTACACTGCCTTAGCCGTCATGTGTTATCACAATTTACGAGGAACAAAATAAAAAAAGAATCTCTTTGTAAAACTTGTAAAAATTGACTTGAGCTTAATTCAGCTTATAAATGCAGGAATATTTACTTTCTACCAGCGGTCATGGCGTCAGTTATGTTCAAACATTCTCCCCCAGTACTGAAAGTTGCATAGAATAAAGCCTAGATTACATTTACACGGGCGCCGTGCGACGAAATTGTCCGTGCGATTTTTTTTCAATCTTAAGGAGCTACGGGCTACGCCGAGTATGTCTACATTACATGGCTTTAAATCGGTACTTTCCGTGCGCTTTCGCACGGCCACCGTCTACCTCCGCTCAGACGCCGTACGAAAAGGGTATTACGGGCAGTTTACGTGCACCGTCCGGGCATCGCATTTCAAATGTAATGTATGCTTAAGCCATAGAGACAACTGTCAATATCTCATGAAAAAACATTCTGTGACACATTCTGTAGCAGAGGTTAAGGAAAACTCAAAAGAAACAAACTGTCAAAAATGCCATAAAGTCTCAGGCTCTTTCTATAACCACGTCCATCCATCATACAAATGTCCGTTTTAAAAACGGGTGGTTGAATACACAGCCACTTTATCTGAAAATCAGCGCATCCAGAATTTTACCACGGCAAAATATAAAACAACCGACAAAGAACACAAAATTGGAGAAACTGCTTCTGTTGCCTCTTTTCTCTCTTTGTTTTTTTTTTTTAAGAGAGAAAGGGGGGAAGTTGATACCTCTAAAGCGAAGAAGGAAAAGGTACCTGTCAGCTTTTGATGAGAGAGAGAGAGAGAGAGAGAGAGAGAGAGAGACTACTTACCTTTCGATGAGTTTGCTGAAAATGACTCTACGCTACTGCCAAAGAATGGCATGGATTTATTAGTCGTCAGATGCGGGCGCCTATGAATAATTTATCTATGTTCCATATGCCAACCCCTTTGCCTTTTATGAAAACCAACATAGCATAGCATGGCTTTTTTTTAATTAATTTAGTATATCTGCACGGCCAAGATACATTGGAATGTGCAACATGGCGCCGATCTATTGAGCACGCTTTCTGCATGGAATAAGCATCGTATTTTGCTTAATATATATATGTCACAGTCCCAATCCTAATCTTACCCACTTCCTATGTGGCCCACACCACATCCCGATTAGGGCCTGGTCCAGACCACATCTTAATTGTGTCTTTGCATTGTTAACAACATAATGGGCAAGTCAATTGGACAAGCTGCCAGGTTTTTTTTTTTTTTTTTTTGTATGGCATGTGTAATTACAAAGGGGATGTCTTAATTCAAAGCACATATTATGATACTTGTATGGCTAATGAGACACAGTTGTATTTCATTACCTGTGATTTGTAATATACATCTGAGGATGATACTTTTAAAGATGTTTAATGTTTAAAGAAAAGGCGTGTAGATTGATTTAGTAACATTTACTAAATAAATGTTAAATTAAATGCGAGCTGTCATTTGTTAGTGTGTTATTTTATTTATCTAGGTATTGTACAGATTCTAGGAAAAAGTCTGCATATTAATATTTTGTTGAGTTTTTTTTTTTTTTTTTTTTTTTTTGAAAATATCTGCAGTGTGAATTACTAAACAGATGTGCCTATTAATTCACACTTCTTTGTAATTTATCCTTAAGAAAATGCAGATATTTAAAAAAACTCAACAAAGTATTTATGGGCAGACTTTTTCATATAATCTGTACAAAACCTAGATAATTAAAATTCTCTTCTGTGCACGCTCTCCGTTTATAATACACATCGTATTTTGTTTCATACTTATCAAGTTTGGAAAGTGTAACATTAAACACTTATAAAAATTATAAGGGAAGAGTACAATTTTAATTTAAAACTTCACAGAGTTGGGAAAGCTCGCTGCGATCCTGAATCGGCGGTTAAACAGCGATGACATGAAGTCGTTTTTCGTAACTTACACGCCCAAAATTGGGGACCGGGTATAGCTAATTTAATTAGTCTCATCATTTAGTGTTCATGTGACCAGGTCATTATGTCATCATTGGAAATCTCCACTCATTACACTAAGTCCCTGGACCAAATCTGAACGGGGAAACGAAACAACACGCTAGCTGTGGTTTCGTTGTCGTGCGAGGCCGGAGGAAACGAAACAGGATTGGGTCATAGCATCTGTGATTACGCGCTGAGATGACAGGATTTTTTATACATTCTTGTTTTATAAAAAGCAGACTGTATTACAGATACTTAAAGCAATAATAACTCTTTGTTTCGGCCAAAAAATTAATTTTCCTGGAGTAAACAACAATTTTCCCATACTTACCAATGGTTAATGAATCCATTTTTACATTCAAAGTTAGTCCCTGGTTTTTTTCTAAAAAGTTTGGTTTTTTGTTAAAATCTCTTAAGAGATTTTAACAGAGTATAGACATCAATGGAGGTCACGTGGTCTAAAGACAAGTTCAGATATCAGAATAAAAGCTATAACTGCTGTTTTTGTGGTAAAACAGAATATATTATATTTCTATGAGTTATTCACAAGGATTTTATTGTGAAATATAGATCTCATACGAAGAGTTATTATCCCTTTAAACCCCGAAATTGAAGGATTTGCATTGTTCAGGTGTATGGGAGATACATGTAATACAAATTGTGCTGAAGTTGAACAAGGACACAACAGTAACGCACAACAATTTTTACCAATGAATATTTGCGACGAAGAGCAATTTTTTTGTTTTTCTCTAGTGTGTGTGCCGTAAATGATCCCCAATATGACGAAAAAAAAATTAAAAAATAAAAAATAAACATGACAATACTTTTCTGAGAGCTTTCTTTTCCATGATGAACAGCTGCAAAACAGACTGGCATGTCTGTGTCCCAGATTTAAGCGCTGTTTAAGTTTCATTTTTGGCTAAGAATTAAAAAGTTAACATAAACAGCAATGTTTGGAAACACAAAAGTGTTTGTTATCATAAGACAAATCCACCCCCTTTACACAATAGCACAACCACCGTAACCCAATACATAGGAATGTTTTGAAAAACTTTCAAAGATGATAACCCATTGTTGTTACCCAGTATCGTGGACGTGCAGATATAAACAGATGGAGCTGGGGGCGTAACTTCCTAACTTACAGAAAATACATTCTCCCCCTTCCTTTTTTGCATGGTCTAACTGCAATATACTAGCATCTTTTAGTACAAGTACGCTAGTACCAGTAATAGTCACACTTCGAATTGTACAACTTTTCTCAACTACCACAATTTCTCAGTGCAACACAGAGAAAGACTATGCTGCAATCTTGGTTGACAAATTTTGTGAATGTTATTGAAGGGTTGTAATATATCTCTAGTAGCAATAGTACTAATTACTGTCTTTTACTCTCTGACCACAGGGGTCGCATCAGTGTCTCTTACAAAGTTAATGAACCGACACCCTGTGGGAACTGAGATGTCCAAATGTGTGATTTCACCGAACCCCACTGTTGTATCCCCCCTCGTACTTACTTATAACCTTCTGCTGGGAAACAGGACCGAGACACGACTATCCCCCTCATACCACTGTTTAAAAGGCGGGTGGGTGGGTGGGTGGGTGGGTGGGGGGCAGTTACATAAGTGTAGACAACGTGACAATTACGATTTCTCACATGGGTCTGTCTGTTCTTTTTGTTATCGGCTGTCTGACCTGTCAAAACCAATCTTTGTTAATATTTATCTATGTACATACAAATATCGGTGATGTGTAACAATAAGTTATCAATCTATTTGGGACAAAGCCAAGCAATACTGGGTTCCACGAATATCACTTTGGGAAAATTACACGACTCAGTGCACCTAAATATAAGCCGTGACTTATTTATTGAGAAATTTACTTAGCGTTCCAAAGCCAAAAAGCTGACTCCAGCAAACATGAACCATTGATGGGTTTAATACAGAGTAAGTATGGCTTTTTGATATATATATGTCAGACAGGGAGGCATTTAATCGCCTGAGAACATGTTACTGGACAGTGTATCTACCAAACCCGAATATGGCGCCTTTTAAGCACTTACTAGTACAAGGTACTTGTAGAACAATTACGGATGAAACGTTTTTGAAATGAAACTTTTCTGTGCAACAGCAATTTGTTGAAAGTTTTGTCCTTGGATCAAAGTTCATTTTGAACCATCAAACGCGACGGGTTCAAAGTTTACTTGTTAGTACGCCAACACAGAGGTTGCGCATGCGTAATTTTCGTTCAAATTTTCAGAACTCTGTATCAGATGATCAGATGCGTAATTCACAGCAGTAACGTCTCAACTGTTAAAGGTATTTTATTCAACATTTTCTAACCAACTCTTCCTTGCACTTTGATTTGTTGTTTCACGCCATTTCTAATTAGGTAATTTAGTTTAAATAATTGGTTAGATACTTAATGCGCCATGTCTTCCTGTTCATTTCAACATTAGGTGCGTGGTATGTGATATGTGTGTGTGTGTGTGTGTGTGTGTGTGTGAGAGAGAGAGAGAGAGAACAGACAAATATAGTCCGTAGTATATGTCTTTTAAAGTAGGTAGAAAATTGGGTCTCCATGTATGAATTTCCATGTCACAGGTGCCGTGCAAGAGAGAAGAAACAAAAAATCCTCGACCAACAGCCATTCCATCTCGGTCCACCACCATGTCAATGACTGAGAGAGATATAGCCATCAACCTCATCTCGGCTATTGAAGCCAATCGGGTCAGAAAGGTAGAGCAAATCTTGAGAAAAGGGCCAAAGCGGTTGTGGTCGGCTTTGATTAGCAATTACAAGCCACACGCCATTGGGTCTGCGACTGTTCTTCACGTCGCCGCCCTTCAAGGGAACGCACGCGCCGTTGAATTACTGCTGGAGGCAGGTGCCGACCCAAACGTAACAACACTTGAGGTGTTCCAAATCACATCTCCAAACCCAAAGTTCTGGATCGCCAAATCCACGCCGCTTCACCTGGCCGCCTCCGTCGGCCAGCATGAGACCGCGCGAATACTCCTCAAGTTTGGGGCCAAAGTGGATACACAGGACAAGAACGGCAGAACCCCACTTCACCTCACATGCATGAGCAAAGAGTCTGCTTGTGCAGCAGACGTCCTGTTGGAGAACCGCGCATGCTTGAACTCCATGGATGCAGACGGGAAAACCCCTCTCCATTATGCAGCCATGCACGTGGAAATCGAGATGGTGAAGCGTCTTCTCTCCGCTGGCGCCGACATTGATTTTCAGGATCACGACGGGTTGTCGCCCCTTCTCTGTGCCATTAAATACAGCGCGACAAGGGTTGCAAAATATCTCTGTGCGTGTGAGGCAAACCTCCAACTTCAAGACGCCAAGGGCATGGCACCACTGCACTGGGCAGCTCAGATAGGGCTACCAGAGTTGATCCATCTCTTTGTCGGCGTGTTCCGCGTGAACGTACATCAGCAGGACGCTCAGGAACGCACGTCCTTGCACGTGGCATGCCTGTACGGGGAGAGTGGAAGCGCCACGGCTCTCCTTGAGTATGGCGCAGACGTCAACGCTTCGGCCCAGAACGGATATTCTCCGCTGCACTACGCCGCTAAGAGTGGTGATTTAGAATCCTGCTCGCTGCTTCTAAAAATGGGTGCAAACGCGCCGCAAAAGGACCGTTTGGGAAAGACGGCAGCAGATCTCGCGAGAACACCCGAGTTACAAGATTTGCTTCAAACTGGAGAAGCAATGTCTCTGTTAGACAGGCAAGCATCCCCCGACAATGATTCTGACGGAGAATCTCTCGTAGCTTCTGGTCTTTGTGACAGCCGCCCGGGATCTAGCAAGAAAATGAGTTTAGCATCTCCACGTCAGGAAAACCTTACTGACGACCAGGATCATGTTTCAGGCACAGACAGACCCAGCCATCGTCTGAGGTCCCACACCAGAGAGCTACTAGAAAACATCACCGACGATATGAAGGAAATTAAGGAGGCAGTCTCAGACATAAGGAGCTCATCCAAGATTCTCCAAGTCTTCCACGAGAAACCATTGGACTCATTTGCGGCTAAACTTTTTCTTCTTGTGTCGAAAAGGATCAATTGTGACTGGAAGGATTTGTTCCGATCACTTATGTCCAGATTCCACCAGTCGATGATTGTTGAGTCGAAAATCGAAGAAATCGTGTACGCGAACGAGAAGGATCTCTCGGAACAGTGTTATATATCTCTCGTCAGATGGCGACAGAGTCGTGGGCTGCGCCTGCGCGTTGACGAGCTGATCGATGCCCTCAATGAGATCCTTAGACGGGATATAGCCGAGGAAGTGGAAAACTTTATTTCGGAGCGAGGAAATTGTGAAAACTTTACCTTCTAAGACAATTGCATTGTTTCGTAATAACATCGTATTGTTGAATTTAAAGGCCCAGGAACATAACATATGCACTGTCGCTAAAAGGGAAAGTTACATCTCTATATTTTTCCATCATGGTTTTAAATCAGTTAGGCGTACCGATTGCCATGAAAAGGGTCTATATGGGCACCCCAGGGAAAGCCAAATAAACTGAAAAACAGTCAGTGGAACTTTAGGTATAAATATTTTTATGAAATCACTGCTAATGTGTTTTCCTATTTGACCACAAATGATTATGACATAAAATATAATATCTGCATCAGATATGAACTTTTTTATGTAGATAACAAGAATCGTTCTGTAATATTCTTGAAACAGTCAAAAGGGAATAAATATATCACGCTTTACCGATGAAAATTTGTTTTGAGGTTAATGAGCGACTTCCTTTTTTCATTGGGAATTTGTTTTTGGAGAGAGAGAGAGAGAGAGAGAGAGAGAGAGATGGTTTGATCTTACACTGCATTCATACCGCATTCATACTGCAATTTTGTGTTGAGCACTGGCCTTGTTCGCTCAATATATAGGCCTACCACGTGAATCATTTTTACAGTCTCTGCGTGCGTCCAACATATCTTATCAGGGCCCCTTTAAACGTAAACTGGGTGTGCTGATAAACTGATAAGATGTCGATGTTTAGGCAGTTCTATGTCACACAAGTAACTCATGCGCCTTACATCACTCCCTTATATTTCTCCCCAATTTCGATTTTAGATAGTTATTCAGTAAAAGACAATACTATGTCAAGGTATTCTGTTACAGACAAAGCTATGCTAAATACATGCCTAGATACAGTTTCTATATTAAACTGAAGAATCTGACCGTGATCAAGTGTCGTAATTAAGGCCGACATTGCGTTGTTATTTGATGACTTTTTAAAATTTTTGTATTGAATCATAATCTATTAATATCAAATTTAAATAGATCTGTCCACGCATTTATCTTTGAAAATTATTTTTATTTTATTTTATTTATTTTTTTTGGAAGGGGGGCCGGAGGGGGGGGGGATAAAAATCCTGGATCCGCCCCTGCAGGTTTAAGAAAAGCGTAAGACGGGAATTACCTGTGCAGAGCACAATACCACCCTATTGTACGTGTAATTTTTTCACGTACACGTAGGCCTATATGTGCCAACACGCAATGTACGTGCATAGGCATGGCTATGTAGAGAAATCGAATAACAATACCAATTTTGACTTACGGGATTACGGAATACGTGCAAGCACGAGTATATAGGCCCTACTGGTACATTACAGGGCACAATTTACACAAATACATTATAGATGGCAGCACACATCCCGCAATGCCTGCAATGCCTTGTATTGGTACAAAAGCTATTTAAAGCACCTTTTTTTAGGTCACGCTCCTGTAGGTCGCCGCCATATCGGTGTTATGCTTTGAATATCATTCAGGTACGTTGGTTGACTGTTGGTTAACACTGATGCAAAGGCTCTTTCACACCTAGCGTACAGAGGTACATGTACGTATGAGTTTCGTATGTGACATCCACTATATGAACAGCTTTTCAAGCGTATGAAATCACCGGGGCAGGCTACCCTGTTTACAGCATATATATATAAGAATAAAGAAAAAAGCAGTGTATGGGATTGTTTTGGAACGTGCTCAAAACATTTAATCTACCTCCGGGTATTCGAACGTTCACCGACGTTTGCCTGCCCACTCAAGACGTATAGGCCTACGACGTAAGGTCTGCGAATGGGCACTTTGTCTCAAAGCAGAGCACACAGCACAGGTATAAAACATCTGCGCATGCGTGCGAAATTGACAGAGCCTGCCAGTGTTTACCGTCTAGTTCATTTGGTTTAATTTGCTTTCTTGTGTCATTTGAGAAATTAATGGTGAATTCTTTCTTGATTATACGTATTAAAAGCTAAATCCAACAGACTTTGCTAAAATGACGCCTGCTTTGTATATAGGCCTATTTTATGTAAACTGAGCATAAATACAAATGTTGTCTTTCTGCGTCCCAAATGTACCTACAGTATGAACAGGCACTGAGCTTATAATTTTTTTAAACATTTATGCCCTGGTTAGTGAGCATTGGGGAGGGGGGTCACTGGGCTAAATTTGGCACGTATAAGGTTGTTGCTTGGTAATAGGTTAGGCCTTTCCCCGTAGGATTTTGAAGCTTAATTGCCTCCCAGATTATAAGTAGGCCTACGACGGGAAACTCAAGATTTTTGCTTAGTTTAAATAGTTAAATTACAAAGAGGACTATATTTTCAAATTTCAGCAAACGTGATTCAAACGGATAGGTGACAATGGCGGCCCAGACATCCCTTTCCCTTTCTGACAAGGGGACGCTTCGCCCGCTTGGGCAGTTTGAGAACGCGTTCGCAACAATGCATGGATGTAAGAACACAACAATTGCCTTCACTTCGTGGATGAACTCGAAAATCTACATCTCAGACGATGTTTGGAAAACTTCACTTCACCTGCTCCAGAAAAACATCCCACACCTTCGTATAAACATAGAATGGAAAGACGGCAAGAGGTACTTCAAGTACATAGACGATCCCCATGTGGATTTTGAGATCTTGGATGTGACGTCAGACGATAACTGGAAGACTGTGCACGAGGATATGATGAGCGTGAGGTTTGATAAAGAGAATGCACCTCTTTGGAAGATAAAGATTTTGCGTATGCCTAAGGTATGTGATGTCAACCACAAAGTGGAATCTACTCCAGATGCCTCGGGTGGTTTTGAAACAGTAGTAGTGTTTGGCATTGATCATGCTGTATTCGATGGAATGTCAGATATACTGATGTTGAAGAAACTGCTTCAAATCCTTAACGCGGTCACAAAGAAAGAATCAATCGAAGATGACGAAGTCGTCACATTCCATCCGAACTTGGAGTCGCTATTGCCTCAAGACAAGCTTGCATTCAAGTGGAGAGACTATTTCCAAGTAATAAAAGAACAAATACATAGTTTATTTCCTTACCACAGTCAGTACTTGAAGTGTTTTCCACCACCACCAAAATCAGACGAGGGACACACAAAAACGATTGCTTTCCATTTCACGATTTTAGAAACGGAAAGAATCATAGCAAAATGCAAGGAATGCGAGACAACTGTTCATGGCCTTTTGGTGGCTGCTGCATCCATGGCTCTAGCAAATGCCATAAACGAAGGAAAAACGCCACGTAGAATAGATGTTCCGTCATCCCATATGGTTAATATGCGACGTTTCATGCCACCTGAGCTTCAAAATGCGTTCGGTCTTCTCATTGCTTCGGTTCACCTCACAGTGAGTGTTCCTGCTGCTGTCACCTATCGATCATTTTGGGAACTAGCCAAGAGTTCAAAACGGACACTTCACAATAGTTTGAATAACGGAGATGCAATAGAAGGTTGTAAAATGTTCAACTACTTTGTCCCTGATGATAACAGTGTGAAACGATTGATGGCATCTGATATATGCAAATATGAATTTGGCACTTCAAATATGGGGGACTGTGACAAGTTGTGTCCTCCTGAAAAAGCAGACGATAATGTTCATGCCGCGAGAATAGTTTCCTCCTCCGCGATGCAGAATTTGTCCAAACCGTTTTATCACTACCTGCGTAAATTCCGCGGTCGCTTCTGTTACAATCTTGACTACGGGACCAACAGGGTGTGCGAAGTGAACGCCATCAGATATGCCGAAATGACAGTGAAGCTGATGAAGATGGCGGCTGGCGACGAGAAAATGTGGACATAATTCGTAGGCGTACTTGTAAATTATTCTTTCCTTTGCACAGTGGTTTTTAAAGACTGGAATGGTGGAGGGGAAGATGCTGGACAAAAAGAAAAAGATTACAGTCAAATTGGACTGTATGGTATCTTATATTAGAGCCCATCATCATTTGAGAAGAGGAGGCCAGGGGATTTCTTTTCTTTTTCTTTTTTTTTTTTTTTTTTTGAACCCTGGTGTTGCGTGTTGCAGACACGAGGCTTACAACATATAATTTTATAGTATAGTTTTAAAAGATGATAAATTTGAGGCATAACTTAGGCTGGGAATAGAAGCCTAGATGCCAACATATCCCCGAAAAAATATCCTTTTTGATGGTTACTCTTTAAGAAACGGGTCCCCCATGTCATTTATAGCACTATTTATACTGGTGTTGCAATACTAATGTCACCCCATGTAGTTTAAGTCTAGTTTAAACCTATGGTACATGTATGCATACAGCAATCAAAGAAAAAGTTCATCATATGTAAATGGTGTTAAAACTTGTGAAAATATTTTCCTTCTTTCACGAAGCAAGAAAGTTAAAACTCATTCGATGAGGTGAGGCAACATTCGGATGCTTGACTAAAAGAGGAACCTTTCACTGTTTTCATTCAAGTTATCTGACTTGGAGGAAGGAGACTACTACTGCCAATCGTGTGACGCCAAAATTGAAAATGTCATCCTTTGTTATATGGTACAAGGTACCACTAGTTTCCCGATCGTTTTGACGACAATTTAATACGGTGATTAATATAAGGATAACTATTACCCATGGCAGAATTTTTAATGAGCCCGCGCAACACGCATAATCTGCAACAAGAAAATGTTGTTGAAATGTGGAATTTTTGTAATAAAAAAAACGGAAAAATACTGTTGGTTATATATTATCAGAAAATTACCGGCAACATGCATAAATAGTTGCAACAATTCTGAGGAAAAAATTCATGTCTCCATGGACAAGTTGCAGCAAATAGGAGTGGTGTGCCAATATTATAAACGGTTTATACGTTCTTTTTTATTTTATTTTATTTTATTTTATTTTATTTTATTTTTTATTTTATTTGTTTTTTTTT